CCCACCAGCTCTGGTGTATGTGGCTGCTGCCTTAGCTGTTGAGCCCCAGGCACCGAGCCCAAGTGTATCTCATATTACTTATTTAATTTCTTTTTATTCTTCTTTTTTTTTTTTTTTTTTTTTTTTTTTGAGACAGAGTCATCCTTGGTAGAGTTCTGTGATGTTGTAGCTCACAGCAACCTCCAGCTCTTCGGCTCAAGTGATTTTCTTGCCTCAGCCTCTGAGTAGCTGGGACTACAGGTGCCTGCCCCAGTGCCTAGCTGCTTTTTTAGAGACAGGGTCTCACTCTGTTTTTTTTTTTTTAGAAACAGGGTCTCACTCTGGCTCAGGCTGGTCTCGAACCTGTGAGCTTAGGCATTCCACCTGCCTTGGCCTCCCAGAGTGCTAGGATTACAGGTGTGAGCCACCACACCTGGCCTCTTGGATTTTTTTTTTAAGGTAGACATTTGTAGTCAGCCAGCAAAAATAGCAGCCATTTGTACTGGGAGACCCCTTTGGGGAAGTGTATCTCTTTTTTTTGTTTGTTTGAGACAGAGTTTCACTATGTCACTCTGGGTAGAGTGCTGTGGTGTCATAGCTCACAGCAACCTCAAAGTCTTGGGCTAAAGTGATTCTCCTGCCTTAGCCTCCCAAGTAGCTGGGACTACAGGCACCTGCCATAATGCCCGGCTAGGGAAGCTGTGTTTTGTTTTTTTTTTTCTTTTGAGACAGAGTCTCACTGTGTCGCCCTTGGTAGAATGCCATGGGGGGAAGTATATCTCGCTTAAGTATCCATTGTGATTGCTAAAATGATTTCATGTCTCCTGTTGGTGAAATTTCTGACACCTTGTAGCACCTGCCATTGGGAACTGCTACAGTGCTTCTCTCCCTCACTCAGGTGACCCGCTCCGCTTCCATGCTCACTATATTGCTCAGTGTTGGGCCCCTGAGGACCCCATCCCACTCCAGGACCTGGTCTCTGCTGGCCGCCTTGGGACCAGCGTCAGAAAGACCCTGCTCCTGTGTTCACCGCAGCCTGATGGTAAGGTGGTCTACACCTCCCTGCAGTGGGCCAACCTGCAATGAACTCCAGAGACCTGGGGGCTATGATTGGCTGGCTGTGACAACAGTCTTTGTAGATGTGCCCAAGCTCATCTCTGCATGGGAGGCTGGAACACTTTCCTACCTCTCTCTACGGTTAGTTTTTGATTCTATGGATTTGAACACTATGCCCTTTTTATGTTCCTCCCTGTTTCAAAGCATTTACTGACCGTGTTTTTTGTAGTACCTATCTCTACACTGGGCTTCTGAAAGTGAGGATTGGATTTGATTCATTTCTGTTTTCTACAGGGCTTAAGTCCCAGAAGGTTTCAATAAACTTGTTGAATAAACGTCGACTGGGTGATTTAAGTTTTTAACAACAGTCCTGGGAAATGTGTACATGCAGATGAAAACAAGGCCTGGTGGTGGGGGCACAACTTGCCCACGTCACACAACTAGTAAGTAGTAGAGTTAGGCTTTACAACCTGTCTTTCTGACTGGCAAACGTGAGCTCTTCCCACTGCACTTTTGTGAAGATCTTTACAAAACATTTCAGATGCATACAGAGGTTATAAATAGAAATAGAGGGTGGAGGTGGTGCCTGTAGCTCAAGTGGCTGAGGCGCCAGCCACATACACCAGAGCTGGTGGGTTCACATCCCGCCCAGGCCTGCCAAACAGTGAAACTACAACCAAAAAATAGCCAGGCGTAGTGGTGGGCACCTGTAGTCCCAGCTACTTGGGAGGCTGAGGCAAGAGAATTGCTTAAGCCCAGGAGTTTGAGGTTGCTGT